CTCCCTCCCTCCCTCCCTCCCTTCTTTCTTTCTTTCTTTCTTTCTTTCTTTCTTTCTTTCTTTCTTTCTTTCTTTCTTTCTTTCTTTCTTTCTTTCTCTTTCTTTCTTTCTTTCTTTCTTTCTTTCTTTCTTTCTTTCTTTCTTTCTTCCTTCCTTCCTTTTCTTTCTTTTTTTCTTTCTCTCCCTCCCTTTTCTTTCTTTCTTTCTTTCTTTCTTTCTTTCTTTCCTTCTTTCTCTTTCTTTCTTTCTTTCTTTCTTTCTTTCTTTCTTTCTTTCTTTCTTCCCTTCCTCTCTTTTCCTTCATTCTTCCCTCCCCTTTCTTTCTTTCTTTCTTTCTTCCTCTAACTTTCTCCTCCGAAGCAGCGAATGACAGTCTTGGCAGAGAGCCAGTTGCGTCTAGCGGTTAAGGCACCGGGCCAAAAACCAGGAGGTCATGAGTTCCAGCTTAGGCCTGAAAGCCGGCTGGGCCGGTCTCTTTCTTTCACCCTAATCCACCTCACAGGGACGTGGTTGTGGGGAAAACAGGAAGAGGCTGGAAGATTAGCTACGTCCGCTGCCTTGAGTTATTTATACAAATAATAAAGATGGAGTGATAAACAAAATACCTTGCTGCCGAGGGCCTGGAGGGCGGGATTAAATTGCCGCGACGGCTTGGATTTGCTGCTCCCTGAAAAAGAAGGGAAGAGCCCAACGGGACCCTCTTAGGAAGGAAAGTGGGTGCAAAGCTGCCAAGTCAAAAAAAAAGCAACAGGAGGCAAGAAAAACGCCAAAGCGGCTGGGGGTTCAGCGCCCAGGTTGGGGGGGGCAGCCGAAGAAGCAAAGGCAGGGCGGTTTTTACCCGCAAAGACTCGGAAATCGGATTTGCTGTAGTCGAAGGGCGTGAAGCGGCTGGCGGCAGCGTCTGCTTCCGGCTGCGGAGAGTCAGGTTTGGCCTTTTTCCTCTGGAGGGTCTCCGTCGCAGGATTCTCCTCTGCCGCCTCCCGCTTTGGGGCAGCCTGCTCTTGCTGGAAACGCAAACACAAGCAAGGAAGGAGAAAAGAACTCTGCACGGTTTTCCAAGGCGGCGGCACAAAATTCTCTTTTCCCGTTGCGAAAGCGGAAACTGCAGCTGCTTCGACTGGAATATACGGGGTCCAAAACTGGAATCGTGCCAGCTGTAATGCAGCATTAATGAACTCCGCTCCACGGCTTCCCTGGTGGATTTTGGCACGTTGATCTCTTCACTCCTCCCCTCGGTGGCCCCGCCCACTCTAGGTCCCGCCCACTGCTTCTTGCTAGGACCCTCCCACCTATTAGGCCCCTCCCTCCCAGCGTGAAGGGCATCCTTCAGTCATGGGCTTCCTCTTAGCTGTCCCCCCCCCCAATTTTACAACTCTGGCGAGAACAGGGTCAGTAGAACAGGATGTCACCCTTAGCCAGCTGGTCTGCTCAAGTTTCTAGTCCTTCCTGAGGTAGGTTTGCACACAGGTCTCGGATTCTTTGCGCACTCTAGTTCTCCCCAGGGTTGACACTCACGGCAGCTAACTGGCGAACAGAGACGTTCTCCGTGTCTTTGATTCGGGGCTCCTTCTCTGCCTCCTTCGGGGCTGCTTGGGGAACGGAGGCTGCGAAGGAAGGAAGGCAGGAAGGAAGGAAGGAAGGAAAGGACGGAGTGACGGAGGGAAGGGAGAACTTCCCTCTTGAACACACGCGGAGCTTTCCTGGATCACCGCTAGGACCTTTTCACTTTGGTGGGAACAGATCACTAACACAAGCCTCCCCCTCCCTTCTTCCCCTCCCCCGGAAGCAACTTGGTTTGATTGCAGCATTTACTCTTCAAGTAAGATGGACATTGATGCTCACTTATGTATTCTAGACCAGGGGTCCCCAAGCCCCGGGCAGTGGCCTATTCAGAATTGGGCCATGCCAGCGGTGGGCCTGAGCGCGCATGCATGCATGCAGCTTAACTCGCGCAAGCAGCGGGCACTCACACGTGTGCGCGCCGGCCTGCCGTTCACGCAAGTTGAGCTGTGACCTTGTCCACTCGCACAGCCCTATTCCCCTCTCCTCCCCCCCCCGGACAGGATAAGCGCAAAGGTTCGGGACCACTGTTCTAGATTGCTAACCCCATGGGGTGGGACTTCTGTCCTCCCCCTCGGGGGGATCCTGCATCAAAAGTAGGCCTTGGGCTCCCTTTTTAATGGACCCCCCCCCCAGGAAGAAGGCAAAGCCACCCTGCCTCACCTGCTTGAGGTTTTTGCTTGGCAGATCCTTTCTTTGCTCCGGCCTGAAGCTGGGCCTGGCTGAGCAGCTTCCACCGATTACTGATCTGGAAGACACAAGGCAGCGTTTGGGAAGCCATGTCCCGGTGGCCACTGCAAAGGTCCCGGGAGACTCTAGCTCCAACAAACCGGTCACTGGATTCGGAAGCCTTTTTACCTACGTCCTTACCTCGTAGATTTTTGAGGACGGGTCGGCCTTCGCAGCCTGAGAGATGTGAACCGGGTTGAGCTCTGCTGGCAAATACTAAGAGGAGTAAAACAACAACAACAAGGGGCAGCTAAATCACCTTAGTTAAGGCAAGAGTGCATGCACACACCTAAGGGCTGGCTTATCGGTTACGGCAGAGGTCCAGCACCTTTGGGGCACCGGGGACCGGTGCCGTGGAGAGAGGTTTTTCCACAGACCGGAGGGTGTGTGGTTTTGTGTGCTGCCTGCATCCCACGGATGGGGCTTTGCTTGTTTGTGCAGACCGCTCGTTGGCATGCTGTGGACCGGGAATTGGGGACCCCTGGGTTACGGTATCTATTTGCGCCTCCTTTAGATGCCAAAGAGTAACAGCCAGGGGGGTGTTTTTACCATTCGAAACGGATTCTCAAAGGACTCCATGATATGCTGAGCTTTCAGCTGGGCCACCGTTAAGTTTTCGCCTTTCTGATCCTCTTCGGGCTCCTTCGGGAAGAGAGGAAAGGTATCACCAGCCCTATCATTTGCTTTTAATAATAATAATAATAATGATGATAAAGTTGGAAGGGACCTTGGAGGTCATCTAGTCCAACCCCCTGCTCAGGCAGGAAACCCTATACCATTTCAGACAAATGGCTGTCCAGTCTCTTCTTAAAAACTTCCAGTGTTGGCGCATTCACCGCTTCTGGAGGCAGGTTGTTCTACTGGTTAATTGTCCTCACTGTCAGGAAGTTTCTCCTTAGTTCCAGGTTGCTTCTCTCTTTGGTTAGTTTCCATCTGTTGCTTCTTGTCCTGCCTTCAGGCGCCTTGGAGAAGAGCTTGACTCCCTCTTCTTTGGGGCAGCCCCTGAGATATTGGAACACTACTATCCTATCCCCCCTCGTCCTTCTCTTCATTAAACTAGACATCCCCAATTCCAGCAGCCGTTCCTCATATGTTTTAGCCTCCAGTCCCCTGATCATCTTTATTGCTCTTCTCTGCACTCTTTCTAGAGTCTCGACATCTTTTTTACATCGTGGTGACCAAAACTGGATGCAGCATTCCAAGTGTTAATCCCGACGTTTCGATCCGGCCCGTTCCCTCTCCTCTCCCCTCCCCGCCACGTGCAAATCCTTCTCAGCTGCCCAAACTCACGTTGAAAACACTGATGCTAGCTCTGAACTGGAGACACAAGGGGGACACGAGGCCCGTCTGCTCCGCTTCCGAAAAGAGCTTTGCGTGCTCCAAAGGCAGTCCAGGGCCTTCTGGAAAGGAAGGACCAGAAGAAAAGAAATTAGGCAATAATAATTTACTTTAAAAAAATAAATAAAATAAAATCCATCTCTTGCTCTCCCAGGAATTTTTGGACGGGGTCCACCTTTTTTTTTAATCACCATATGTTTTGGTGAACATGATACAATAGTAAATAATAATAATAATAATAATAATAATAATAATAATAATAATAATAATAATAAGAAGAAGAAGAAGAAGAAGAAGAAGAAAAAGAAGAAGAAGAAGAAGAAGAAGAAGAAGAAGAAGAAGAAGAAGAAGAAGAAGAAGAAGAAGAAGAAGAAGAAGAAGAAGAAGAAGAAGAAGAAGAAGAAGAAGAAGAAGAAGAAGA